CTCCCCAGATGGCAGCCTGCGGCAAGTGCAGCCGGTCTGATGGCTGAGTGCTGTGATGTGCCCAGTGTGGGTACTCCGGGCAATCCAAGCCAGGACTGCTTTGCAAGCGGGGCACCCCTGAGAACTGTCTGTCTGGGGTGGGGGTCGGGTCCCTTTAAGCACAGCCCTCGGCTAGCCTGAGACAGCAGCTCCACACTCTAAGTCCTATTCTGATGTCCTGCCGGCACTGCTTCCGGCCATCCTTAACCCCGGTTCAGGGTCCACTTAATGTGGACATGCTAGTTCGAATTAGCAAAACGCTAATTCGAACTAGTTTTTTAGACTGGATCCGTTAGTTCGAATTAGTTTAGTTCGAATTAACTAATTCGAACTAAATTAGTTCGAATTAGCGCTGTAGTGTAGACATACCCTCAGATACTGTGGTGATGGGTGCAGTATAAAACCTCATTAGCAGAGAACTGAATATTATCTAAATGCATATCCCAAGAAATCTATTCCCTGATCCATTTCCTATTTGAAGGAACTAGTGAAATGAGTTTGGTTCTTTGCTACTAACATTACTTAAACAGGGTCTGCTCTTAAAACGTATACTGGCATTAGAGATGTAGAATCCTATTTAAACAGTTAACTGGTTAAACATTACATTTAACTAGTTAACTTCTTAAATGGGGCAGCCTGCTGTGGGCAGGGGCTGCTCGGGCCAGGCCAGGCCTGCCACACCATGCCACAAACGGGTTGCTCTGGCTGGGCTGGGCCCACCATACCGTACTATGAGCGGGCAGGCAGCAGCTCCTGCCCAACCAGGCTGTGAGTTAACCTGTTAACCACTGACCTTCCAAACTGGTATATCTGTGGTCATCAGGTGTGTGAAGAAGCCTCATCCCTGACTATGCCATCAAAACAGCCAGTATAAATGCAGCTATGCTAAGCGGAGAGGGCTGCTATTGGCATAGCTAACGCTGTCCAGGAAGACAGTGTTACACTGGCCAGAAAACTCGGATTGGCATACCCTGTCTTTGATTGTCATATGCTGTGTCTACACTAGGGGGTATGAAGCGTAGACATAGTTTTAGCTCTTGTACTGTACTCTTAAGTTCAGTGCATGGAATAGAAGATTAATTACCGCCGACATTCTCTGCTGGTGCAAAAATTAATTTGTTTTGTAAAATCAGCTAAAGAAAAACTGGAAACAAAATCCATATCGTGGTCCCTTTTGATATAATAGCAACAGGTGCACATGTGCAAGTTCCTCTGAGTGGAAAGCGATGGTCATTTCCTCCCAGGGCCATTTTCACAAACATTAAATACTGACTGCAGTGGGGTCATCCCATCAGAAAACACATTCCATCCTTTCCACCACTAGCTCTTTCAAAGTCAAAGCAGATCCTGCTTTCACTATCAATGTGGGTGCCTCACCATCTAGTGGACAGAAAGAAAGCATCACAGAAAAGAACTGTGATAGAAATGTGATAGAAATTCTTCCACTATTTGATCTGAGGAAGTGGGTCTGGCTCAGGAAAGCTCATCATCTAATAAACCATCTTGTTAGTCTTTAAAGTGCTACATAGTCCTGTTTTTTGATTCAGAAAAGAACTGAGATTTGTTGTAATCTCAATGACTTGATTACCTGCATCCTGCTTCAAAGGCCTTTTAAGAGTACACTTGAAAGAGAATCTTCTGAACTGTCATTCATGCTTAAATTCGACACTTTACATCTAAGTTTGAATAATGACTCTAATTATCTTACCCATTACAAAGATAGCTTCCCCAATTATCACCTCTAATATCATTAGCTCACAGACATTTGCCTCCTCCCCCCATCCCTCTTCTGTTCTGAAATTTGATTTGTCTTTTTCATATGTGTTCATTTTTTTAAATTGTATCCTTTGGTATATATGGTTGTGACTATTTTCTTCCACTATTTGATCTGAGGAAGTGGGTCTGGCCCACGAAAGCTCATCATCTAAGAAACCATCTTGTTAGTCTTTAAAGTGCTACATAGTCCTGTATTTTCCTGCATCTAGGGGCTGAAGATGCTGGTTTTGTAAATATTTATTACATTTAATGGGACCATTTTTTTTCTTGATGAGCATCTGAAACTTCTCCTATAAACTACACATATGACACTGATAGGAACAAAAAATAGATGCTGGTGTGAAGAAATGTGGTATAATTACATAGACAAGGTAGGTGAGTTTTTTTTTTATTGGATCAACTTCTCTTGGTGACAGACAAGCTCTCAAGCCAGCACCAATCTCTTCTTCAGCTATAATTACATATATAGGTTATAGAGAGACAGATCTCCGAAGTGAAATCGTTCTGTTTTTAAGCGAGGTTGACCTCCTCCCCAAAAATGTTTTCAGGCCATATACTTCAAATTTGGATGCCTAAATCACCACATGAACACCTGAATAAGTGGCTTGATTTTCAAAGCTGCTGAGCACCTACAATTCCAATTGATTTCAGACTTTAATCTCAGGAGCTGTGCCTATTGTCTCAGAAAACTAAGCCATGTATTTGAGTGCTTAAATATGGATTATTTAAGTACCTAGCTATTACCTCCACCACATCTGAAAATGTTGGCCCCAGCCAATTGTGTATTGCTATGTAGTGTAGTGTAATTGTGTAGTGTTCCACCCCCAACGACCTTTGCCCTTCGACAGGGGCGAAGATGTCCCCAGGCATAAGCAGACTGAGCAATTTTAAGTCTTCCAGCAACTCAGAAGCCCCCGCAAGTATAGTATTACCCCCCAGCTACCATTCCTCTTATTTAACATTGTGTTTTTAACAAGTGCATCACTATGCGCTGTGTGGGTATATATTCTGTTTTGTGGAAATCATGCCATTTGTATGTTTACGCAGAAGAGCAGTAAGCTGGGCTCAAGCTATTCCTGCTTAGGGCACCTACTGGGCTAGTGCGGCCTCTCAGCTAAATGACTCCTATTTTGCATCGCTTTGCAATGAGAGGTGCTTGGTAAATGTATAAGGCAGAGTAGTCTCGCAGGCAGAGCACCAGACGGGGTTTAAGAGACTTGGGTTCTACTCTCTGCTCTGCCGCAGCCCTGCGGGGGGTGACCTAGGCAAGTCGCCCCGCCCCCCCTTCGTGCCTCAGTTTCCCCAGCCATAAATGAAGGCTGATGGCAATGCCGTCCTTTGCACAGCGCTGCGAGGGCTTCCCCTGCAAAGGGATGCTGGGGGCGCGCAGGTGAGCGGCAGAGCTGGGCAAGGACGCCCTGACCCTGGCTCCCATCCCCAGAGGGAGGAGCGGGGCGGGGGCACGCAGCGGGCGGGGAGCTCTGGCCTGGCGGGGCGGTCCCCGCCTGAGAGGGGAGGGGGAGCGGAGGACCCTCTAGCCCCACGCGCTACGGCCCTGCGTCATCTCTATGCTGCTCGCGGATAGAGCGCAGACGTCATCAGACCGCGCCGGAAGAGAAAGGGGCAGGCTTGGCAGGGCGGGGTGGGGTGAGTGTCCTGGGGCACAGAGCGCGGGGCAGGGAGGCCGGCGGCGGC